TTGACCAACTCTTTTTTTAAGAACTAGGTCCAGTAATCAGTTCTTTTGTAAATGACTGGTTAACTAGTTCCTGTTATTTTCAAAAGAACTGATCACTGCACTCAGTTCGCAAAAAAGGATCAGTTCTTATAAGTATAAGCTATCACAGGTCTAGTAATTAGAATGTTTGATAAACATTAAAAATGTTAATTTTCTGTATAAGTCAGTTATAATCTATGTGAAACATATATGCTTGAAAGTTAGAAAAATTTATGTCACACTTTTTTTGTACTCATATTTTCTTTTAATCTTTTCATAAATCCAATTTGATGATCGATCTGTCACTAATATTATACCATTGTATAGCCTAGACTATTCTCTAGCAAACATGCAGGTATGGTGATAAAATAATGAATATTTTCAGAAGAAGTGATTACACAAACGATCCCTTGATCTGAAGTTGAGGCCAAAGAAATATAATGCTACTAGATTTATAAAAGTTACCAGAAAGAACGCTTACCAATTTGACGAAAATTATAATTTGAAGATGATTGTAAAATGTGTTTCTTTTTCATCATTACGGCATCAGTAGGTGATGATGAAATACGTTCATTAATAATACCAGGACGAGGACAAGGTAATGAATCATCGAGAGATGAAAAAGAATTGTCCTGACTTTGTGTTAAATATGATGATGTCTAAACATACGACAAAAAGGAGAAAATGATGGGATTAATAAAATTTTATTATTGCTTCTTCATAATGTCAAGCAAAGAGACCTCAAAGAATTTTCAAGAACCAAATAAGTTTGAATAAAAAACCCTTCAGGAGAAAGTTGCACACTTTTTTACAGCTTAAATCAGCATAGAAGAGTTAAGATCTTAGTGTTGGCATTGTTCAAAAGAGTCACTTCTTCGAGACAAATGAGAGACTTGACTTCCATGGTACTCTCTTGATTGTATACATTTCGTATCGAGCATTTAGCCAGAGCTTTAAACTACTCCCGTAGCTAAACTCATTATGAGTCATGCTCTTTTAAATCGAAGCATCCAGTTTGCACACTTGCACTGTGAAGACCGCAATGTTTCCATCTGAGATCAACAACGATATATGTTTAGGTGATTCGTGTCTAGCTCTTATTACATATTGTATAAATTATTTTCAAACAAAAAAGTACTAAATCACTCTGGATCACTACTCAGGTCGAAAAATCTGACATAAGATCTTGTAACACCAGAGGAAATCGTAAAAAAGATTCTGGTCTTAGAAATCTCACATTGATTTGTGCCATAAGATTTTTGAAATATTTTTCTTTCGAATAAGATTTCCTATGATCTTACAGTCATATGTTACAAGGCAGTAAGATCTTTCAAGACTCTTATAATATGACTTACGAGGGAACATATCCAACTGATTCCGAGCTTTCGGCTTCATCTTTTGGCTACAGGTAGACCTCAGTGAGACTAAGAAAACTCTAGAAGCGTTCGTTCC